TTTCTTTTTTTTTTTTTAAAGATTTTATTTATTTGACAGAGAGAGACAGCCAGAGAGGGAACACAAGCAGGGGGAGTGGGAGAGGGAGAGGCAGGCCTCCCGCCCAGCAGGGAGCCCAATGCAGGGCTTGATCCCAGGACCCTGGGATCACGACCTGAGCTAAAGGCAGATGCCCAACGACTGAGCCACGCAGGCACCCCTCTTTTTTTTTTTTTTAAGATTTTATTTATTTATTCGAGAGAAAGAGTGAGCATGAGAGAGAGCATGAGTGGGGAGAGGGGCAGAAGGAAGGGAGAAGCAGATTCTCTGCTGAGCAGGGAGCCCGACTCAGGGCTCGATCCCAGGACTCTGGGATCATGACATGAGTTGAAGGCAGATGCTTAACCAACTGAACCACCCAGGTGCCCCACTACAGGCAAAGATTTATAAAACTGGACACAAAAAGCATTCACCATAAAAGAAAAAATATTGATAAATTAGACATCACTAAGATTTAAGAAATTCTGTTTGTTAAGAGACACCATTAAGAAAGTAAAAAATCAAGGTACTGGGAGAAAATAATGCATACATCTGACAGAGGATATGTATCCAGAACATATATCCACAGATTAATAAAGACAGACAAGCCAGTAAGTATACGGGCAATAGACTACAACAGGCACTCCACAAATGAAGATATCTAAATGGCCAACAAAATACACAAAGGTATTTCATATCATTAGTCGTCAGAAAAATGCAGTAAGTTACCACTACACTCACAAATATCTTCTTGCTATTGTTTTCATCAAAAAAGTACTCAAATAGGGTTGATGCATTGCATTTGATTATTGTCTCTCAAGTCTCTCTTAATCTAGAATATTCCTCTTTTCATGTCATTGCCTTAGTCAATTGAGTAGGTCAGTTGTACTAAAGAAAATAAGACATTTGGGACTTGCCTGATTGCTTCTTTTTGGCATTAACTTTTTTTTTTTTAAAGATTTTATTTATTTGCCAGAGAGAGAGAGAGAGCAAGCGAGCACAAGCAGAGGGAGTGACAGGCAGAGAGAGAAGCAGGCTCCCCATGGAGCAGGGAGTCCGATGCGGGACTTGATGCCAGGACCCTGGGATCATGACCTGAGCCAAAGGCAGATGCTTAACCGCCTGAGACACCCAGTGTCCCATGGCATCATTTAATTTTTCTCTACATTTTATGTATATTATTAATTGAATGAAATTAAATGTTTGATTAGATTTTTAAAAATTATTGGTTCTGTCTTTATATAACTTCAATTAGTACATAATATTTCATTGTTCTACTTTGAGGCTGAGATTGACCAGTGGTGAATCTGATCTTTCCACTTTTTTTTTTAAAGATTTTATTTATTTATTTATTTGACAGAGAGAGATACTGAGAGCAGGAACACAAGCAGGGGGAGTGGGAGAGGGAGAAGCAGGCTTCCTGTCGAGCAGGGAGCCCGATGTGGGACTCGATCCCAGGACGCTGGGATCATGACCTGAGCCGAAGGCAGACGCTTAATGACTGAGCCACCCAGGTGCCCTGATCTTTCCACTTTAAAGTTGCATTTTATGTAGGGTAACACTTTGGTATCCTAAAAATATCCATTTCTTAATCACCCTTTATTTAGGGTTTTAGCATACATTGATGCTTATTGCTTGAATGGGTTATTTTGTTGAGTTGTAAAATACTGATTTTTCTAATTCTAACATTCTTCTTACAATTATTAATTAGAATTATTCTGTATAGAACTTTTCCATATGTATTTTCCATATATATTATTTAGTTATTACTTCTATTAGGACTATTTGGTACTATGAAATAGAATTCATATGGAGAAAGCAGGATATATTTTTAATTCTTTTTTTTTAAAGATTTTATTTTATTATTTGACAGAGAGAGCATGAGCAGAGGGGCAGGGCAGAGGGCAAGGAAGAAGCAGGCTCCCTGCTTTTAACCCACTGAGCCACCCAGGTGCCCCACCTTTTTAATTCTTTCTCTTTAATTATCTTGTTTTCTTTTTTAATTTTATTTTTTATTAAAGATTTTATTTATTTATTTGACAGATAGAGACGCAGCAAGATAGGGAACATAAGCAGGGGGAGTGAGAGAGGGAGAAGCAGGCCTCCCGCCGAGCAGGGAGCCCGATGTGGGGCTCGATCCCAGGACCCTGAGATCATGACCTGAGCCAAAGGCAGACGCTTAACGACTGAGCCACCAGGCGCCCCTCTTGTTTTCAATATAAGGAGTTGATACCACTACCACTAGTGGCAAAAAATGAGTTTTGATTTCTTGCTTTCTTGCAGCATTATTTGATCTTATGGATTTTTACAAATTGCTATATTTCAATCTTCTGTAGTCATTAGTCTTTTCCTTGTTAAAATTATCTTATCTTTGGCCAGTGAGAGTCCTTTCAAGTTGACTCCTATGTCTTTTTGAATGACCCCAGTAGTCTTTGATAACTTTGTTGTTTTCCGATACACTGAGAGGTCCTATGCTTTTTGTAACAGATGTCTGGTTTAACTGCAATGTGATGAATGCAGTTTATCATTTACTGATATTTGGTTGATACTTGTTTTTTTATTGAAGTATAATTAACATACAGTGTTATATTCGTTTCAGGTGTACAATAAGATTCAACAATTCTATAGATTACTCAGTACTCATCATAACTGTACTCTTAATCCCTTTTATTTATTTCACCGTTTTCCCCACCCATATTTCTTCTGGCAACCACCAGTTTGTTCTCTGTATTTAAGAGTCTGTTTTTTGGTTTGTTTCTTTTTTTCTTCCTTTGTTTCTTAAATTACACCAGTGAAATTGATACTGAGTGGTCAACTTCCATAAATGTTTCATGTTTGCTTGGAAAGAATGTGTATTTTGACATTGCCAGCTGCATGTTGTAGATATGTACCAATAGATCAAATTTGTTAATTGTGCTGTTCATCTATAAGCCTAATAACCTTTGTCTGCTTGATCAGTCAGAGAGATTGTAAAGTCTCCCATCACTAGTCATTTTACCTCTTTACTCTTAGAATTTTACTTACTACCACTTAAACTACTCGTCAAGGTCACCAATGACTTTAACATTGCTAAGTAACTCAACGGTCAGTTTCTCAGTCTTGTCTTTATTTGACCAATTAACAAAATTTGATAAAGTTCATTATTTTCTCCTTTTTAAAACATTTTCTTCACTTTGCTTCCAATACATTACCCTCTTTGGATTTTTGTCCTAATTCCCTGGCTCCACTTTCTTGTCTCCTATGCTACTTTGTCTTTATTTCTCTGACCTCTAAATGCTGGAGTTCTCCCCACAGGTCAGTCCTTAGATCCCTTCTGATCCAGTCCATTGGCTTTAACTACAATGAATATTCTAACAACTCATGAAAGTGTATCTCTAGTCATACTTCTCCCCTGGATTCTAGATCCATTTATCACACTGTGTAGTATAGTCCTGTGCTTGGAAATCTAGGCTCTCGAAACAGCTCATCCTGAAGCTCTTCCATCTCAACAGATGGACACTGCATCTTTCAAGTTGATTAGGCCAAAAATCTTCTCTTCCTCTAATGAACCACACCAAACCTATCGGCCAAGTCTTTACAGTTTTACCTTGAAAATATCTCAAGAAATTTGCTACTTTTCAATACATCAACCACTATCACCCAGATTCAAGTGACTATTTACCTCAAGCTTCTTGATTTGTTGTTTTTTTTTTTTTTAAGATTTTATTTATTTATTTGAGAGAGAGAGAATGAGAGAGAGCACATGAGAGGGGGGAGGGTCAGAGGGAGAAGCAGACTCCCCGCCGAGCAGGGAGCCCGATGCGGGACTCGATCCAGGGACTCCAGGATCATGACCTGAGCCGAAGGCAGTCACTTAACCAACTGAGCCACCCAGGCGCCCTCAAGCTTCTTGATTTGTATCTCTGGTTCCACACTTCCTCCTCTACTCTCTATTAGATCCTATATTACAATTCCTTTAAAACATAACTCAGATTGTGTCAATTCTTTGCTTAAAGTTTTCCATTTTTTACAAAACTTAAATTCCTTCCCAGACTCATCTTCAAGGTACTACTTAATCCGGTCCTCAATCTCTTTCTAAACTTCATCACTTACTACTGTCTTCTTTCTTTACTTTGGCCATAGTGTCCTACTCCTTACCATTTCTTGAATATGTCAGGCATGCTCTCATTGCAGGGTCTTTGTTGTTGTTGTTAAGATTTTATTTATTTGCTTGAGAGAAAGATAGAGAGAAAGAGAGAGAGAGACCGCAGAGGAAGAGGGAGAAGCAGATTCCCTGCTGGGCAGAGAGCCTGATGCAGGGCTCAATCTAGGACTCCAGGATCATGACCTAAGCTGAAGGCAGACACTGAGTCACCAAGGTGCCTCGACCATTGCAGGGTCTTTGAAGTTTCTGTTCTCTATATTTAAGTGTTCTTTATCCAGATCCCTCCATGACTCATTCCCTCACCTCCTTTGCTCAAATGTCATCTTCTAGTTCCACTTTTAGTAGTGGCAAACTACCTTATTTCAGACTACCATAAAAGATAATAAACTCTAGACTACATATATTTTACACACACGTGCACACCACAATGTGAAGGCATTGGGGAACAACTAAAAACAGGCAAAAAACTGAAGGGGAGTTGACCTTTGGAAAAAAAGTATACTGTGAGACATTAATATTTATACAGATTATCACATAATGGTATTTCCCAGCCTCTGTGGCATAGGGTAGCTAAATGCAAGTAGAAAGCCACAGTCTTATTGGCCTGAGAAGTTGGAGGATGAAGTTTGAGGCTGCTAAAGTAGTTTAAAAATTAAGAGTTAAATCCCAGAAAGGAGGGAGCTACATATTCAACATCTACATAAAAATTTGGCCCAAATCTTTGACTGATGCCTGAACCTCACAAATTTGTGTAAACTCCAAACAGTCTATAGAAATCAACAGCTAGAAGACCGAAAGAAGAGCAAATATTTCAACTATTACTTTTCTGAGGGGAGAGAGATGGGATTTTAAGTCCAGCCAAGGTAACTGTTTTTAGGACAAAAGTCAACATTCTTGAGAAAATTATAACAAAGTTGAGAATCTCTACAACATATCATTCACAATGTTCAGTATACAATCAAAATTACTACATAAGCAAAAATATAGGAAAGGTGAGAAAGAATCAAGAGAAAACGTTATCAGTAGAGAATGACTCAAATATTTCAGATGTTGGCATTACAAAATAGGGTATTTTTAAACTTGTGTATGTGCATGTGTGTTAAAATATAAATAACATAAAACTTAACATTTTAACAATTTTTATGTGTACAAGTGGCATTAAATGCATTCATAATGTTATTTAATCATTACTATTTTCTCATCTGCAACAGAACTGATGTACCCACTGAACAATAACTCTCCATTTCTTCCTCCCCACCCTAGTAATCTCTATTTATTCTACTTTCTCTATGAATTTGCCTATTTTAGTTACCTCATATAAGTGGAATCATACAATTTTTCTTCATAAAAGAACATAAAAGTCTGGCTTAATTCACTTAGCATAATGATTCCAAGGTTTACGTTTACATTGCAGTATGGGTCAGAATTTCATTCTTTTGTATGGCTGAATAATATTCCATTGTATGTCTATCTCACATTTTGTTTATCCATTCATCCATTGCTGGACAATTGGATTGTTGCCATTTTTTCACTGTTCTGAATATGCTGCTATGAACACCGGTGTACAAGGATCACTTTGAGCCCCGCTTTCAATTCTTCTGGATTCTAGTTAGGTACAGAAATGCAGAATCATATGGTAATCTTAAGTTTAACGTTTTGAGGAACTGCCAAACTGTTTTCCTCAGGAGCTGTACAATTTACAGTCCTACCAACAATGCACAAGGTTTCCAATTTCTGCACATCCTCATCAAACACAGGTTTTGTTATGCAGATAACATATGAACTTTGAAAACTAATTTTTAAAAAAGAAGTCTACAAAAATTAGGTGTGCTGGCAAAATTGGACTTAGCATAAAACCTACTAAAGAAGAGACTATAAAATGACAGTACTCATTTAGATACTTAAGTTTTGGTAAATTGTTGTTTTCATGAAAATCAGTCCCTGCAATTTATAACTGTAATAAATCACTGTCAAGCTTTTTTAGATTTTTTTTTTTTTTAATTTGAGACAGAGAGAATGAAAGACAGAGAGCATGAGAGGGAGGAGGGTCAGAGGGAGAAGCAGACTCCCTGCCGAGCAGGGAGCCCGATGCGGGACTCGATCCCGGGACTCCAGGATCATGACCTGAGCCGAAGGCAGTCGCTTAACCAACTGAGCCACCCAGGCACCCAAGCTTTTTTAAAAAAGCTAATAAAAGTCAAAATTGATACAGTCATGCTTATATATCACAACTGTAGTTTGAGATTTTGTTTTGTGAAATCACCTTCAAACAAATTTAGTTAACATTTAAACATTCATTGCTAAAGTTCCCTTTTGATCAATAGCCCTAATTCTAATCTCCTTTTTATAAAGGCACTAATGGTTTTCTGTATATCAAGTAATATTGCAGAGATGCTGTAATAAAACATTACCTGAAGTAAGGGTTTGTTCATATATCATTATAGAGAATGAGATCCTTTTAGAGGAACTCTGTTATTACTGCTCAGAGTCTGAGACCACTACCACTTCCAACCAAAATGAGATAGGTCATATAAATTAAGGGTTGTAAAAGGAATAATATGATCTGTAGGTTTAAAGTGAAGCTATGTTACAAAATTGCTTATGGCCATCTCAAGAAAATAAAAGGCTTTCTCGTTTCAAAATGTAATGATTAACAAATGATATTAATGTCTATCCTGGTTGTATGGAAACTTACAGGGCAAGAAAACTAATGTCACGTAGTCAGTTTCTCAGGAAAATCTTATTCTCTCCACAATGACTCTAAATACATTACTAATTAGTTAGTTATGAATCCAACAAATCTATTGCCAAATAATGTGAGACACACTGAGAGAGTAGGGATCATTAGTAGACCATGATGCCCTAAAATGGTAAATAAAATCATACTTGATGTATCACACTGCCATCTGATTTTCAAATTCTTGATAATTACATATTTACTTAAATCTAAGACATAATTGGTTGAAAGATGAATATGTATTTTAGAAATGTTAAAATGTAAGAAGTATAAGATTCATAAAGTATGCTAATTTCATATTACATACAGTAAATAGGACTATTACTTCTAATTACTAATTTTCTGGAAATATATTTGATAAAATAGTTCAGGATCTGATAGGGCATATGGATCCATCATAATATTCTTTCTATGGGCACAGGCTTCCCCTAGCCCATAAATTCTAAGAAATAACTACAAAAAACACCATAAGACATGACATCCATATTGCCACTGTATATCATTAAGATTTTATATGCTATCAATCTTCCTTTTTAAGGCATAAAAATTACAAATAAAGCTAAAGCCCCCTTTGATCAACACCTTCAAACCTAATCTCTTGCCAGAGACAATACTAACAATAATTTGGTATGTACCCTTCCAGTCCATTTTATTTTATTTTATTTTAAATTTTATTATTACTATTTTTTAAAGATTTTATTTATTTATATGACAGAGAGAGACACAGTGAGAGAGGGAACACAAGCAGGGGGAGTGGGAGAGGGAGAAGCAGGCTTCCCGTGGAGCAAGGGAGCCCGATGTGGGGCTCGATCCCAGGACCCTGGGATCATGTCCTGAGCCGAAGGCAGGTGCCTAACGACTGAGCCACCCAGGTGCCCCTCCAGTCCATTTTAAATACATACATATTTCAATAATAAAAACAGAGTACTGTTCTTTATGATTTAATTTCAATTTACATGAATGTCATTCATTATACAATGTTTCATTCAGGGATCTTGATTTTTTTTCACTCTACACTGTTTTACATAACTATCCATGTTACAAAATACAGATCTACTCTATTACTTTTAACTGCTGTATACTACTCCATTATTTGACTATATCACACTTTATTTACCCATTACCCCATCAATAATTAGCTTGTTTTCAATTCATATATATATTTCTTATGGGTATTTGTGAGTTTCTTTAGAATGAATATACAGAAATGGAACTACAGGGTCCTTTTGTCTTTTAAGAAATGCTTCCCTGCCTCAAAGTCATACAACATCCTGTATTTCCTTCCCAGAACTTCAGTTTGGCTTTTCACATTCCAGTTCAAATCCTTTGGAATTCTGTTTCTTTATATGTTGTAAGGTTGCATGTAGTTATTTTTTCCCTACTATGGAGAACCAAATACTCCAACAAATTTCATTGGCTGTCACTTCTCTACTGATTTATGATATCATGTCTAATATATACCAAATTCACGTATATTCACTGATTTATTTCTAGGCATTCTATTCTGTAATATCTGTTTATTTACCTATTCATGCTCCAATACCACATACTATTTAATGACCATAACTTTTGTGTAGTATACGGTAGAAGATGTGTCCTCTCTCTTCTTTTTCAAAATTGCCTCGGCAATCCAGGTATTTCCATTTCACATGAATTTTAGAATCATTTTGTAAAGATCCTAGAAAATTCGTATTAGATGTTTGGAACTATATTAGGTCTATAGATTAATTCTGGGAGAATTGACATTTTTATGATATTGGGTTTTTCCATCTGCATTTATGATATTTCTCTCGATTTATTCAAGTCTTATGCCCTTCAGTGAAGCTTTACAGTTTTTCCATAAAGATATTGTTCATTTTTTTAAGTTTACACCAATATGTTTCAAAAGTAAAGCATGGGTTGAATTTAAGAAAAGGCCTTCCCTCATTTAGTACACTCGGTGTTTCTCACCTGTATGCCCTCTCTTATGTATAGAAAGGGATGCTCTTTGAGAGAATGCTTTCCCACATTCATTACATTCAAAAGGTTTCTCACCAGTATGACTTCTCATATGTATAATAAGTAATGAGCATTGAGAGAAGGCCTTTCCACACTTATTACATTCATACGGTTTCTCCCCTGTATGACTTCTCACATGAAGAGTAAGGGATGAGATTCGAGAGAAGGCTTTACCACATTCATTACATTTAAATGGTTTTTCTCCAGTATGAATTTTTTCATGCTCAAGGAGATTTTGTCTCTGACTGAAAGCTTTTCCACATTGATTACAATGATAGGGTTTCTCTCCAGTATGAATTTTCTCATGTTCGGTGAGATTTGATTTCTGACTAAAGGCTTTCCCACATACTGTACATGCATAAGGTTTCTCACCAGTATGAATTCTCTGGTGTCTAATGAGGTTTGACATCTGAATAAAAGCTTTCCCACATTCATTACATTCATATGGTTTCTCTCCAGTATGAATTTTCTGATGTGTAATGAGATTTTCTTTCCTGCTGAAGGCTTTTCCACACTCATTACATTCATAGGGTTTCTCAGCTGTATGATTTCTCATATGTACAGTAAGGGATGAACTTTGAGAGAACGCTTTCCCACATTCACTACACACATAGGGCTTCTCACCTGTATGACTTCTCATATGTATAATAAACACTGAGCATTGAGAGAAGGCTTTTCCACATTTATTACATTTATAGGGTTTCTCCCCTGTGTGACTTCTCATGTGTAGAGTAACAGATGACATTCGAGAAAAGGCTCTACCACATTCATTACATGCATAAGGTTTCTCCCCAGTATGAATTTTCTCATGCTCAATAAGGTTTTGCTTCTGGCTGAAGGATTTTCCACATTCTTTACATTCATAGGGTTTTTCTCCAGTATGAATTCTCTCATGTTCAATGAGATTTGATTTTTGACTGAAGGCTTTCCAACAATCCTTACATGCATAAGGTTTCTCCCCCGTATGAATTCTCTGGTGTCTAATAAGGTTTGACATCTGAATGAAAGCTTTTCCACATTCATTACATTTATATGGTTTTTCCCCAGTATGAATTTTTTGATGTGTGATAAGATTTTCCTTCCTGCTGAAAGCTTTTCCACATTCCTTACATTCATAGGGTTTCTCTCCAGCATGAATTCTCTCATGTCTGATGAGGTCAAATTTATGACTGAAGTCTTGTCCACACTGATTACACTTAAAGGGGGTTAGAACATGGGATGAGCAATGGTAAAAAGGCTTCCCGTACTTACTATATTCATAGTTTTTCTCTCTTACACAGTTCTTCTCATAACTAAGTAAATCTAAATTATGTTCCAAACCCTTATCAAGTGAGTCACATTCAAAGAAGTTTTGTCTTGAAGTAAGAATATCTGAGCTCAAAGGAAATATTTTTGTAACTCTTTTACATTCAATGACATTTTCCTTAATCAGAGTTTTCTTGGAGATGGATGTGACTTTCCTCACAAGTGTTTCCTGTTGCTTCTTGATCTGTTCATCAACTTCCCAAACTTCTAAAATGGAGGACCAAAAATTATTACTTTTGAATTTTTCTGCTACTACACTATTAATAACATTTCAGAAATTTGCTCCTATGGAGTTGATTTTTTATGTTGACTCTAGTCTCCCAATATGAAAAAATCCAAACTGCAAATTACCCTAGTTTCTAAGTTTTAAGAGGTTAACTCCTATAAAATATTATGGAGAGAAAACTGACATTGATAGGCCTAAGTAGCTTCGACTGCTTTTAAAAGTATGCATATACAATGCAGAAATCAGTAACATGAACAGAATAATTAAGATGAAAGGGTGACGATACAAATGACTGGATAGGGAGTCAAAATGACCAGAGGATAAAATTAACATTTGTGGTTAAACACAGTGGATTGAATGTATATGTTTATTTCTTCTCCTCCCTAAAATTCCATTAAAATGACAGTAAAAAAATAAAAGGTCAAATCCACAAGAACAAAGGAATAAGAGTGTAAAGAAGGGTAAACAAGAGATTTCAACAAAAGAAGGGAGATGAAAGGCATATAGGGAACTGTTAACTAATGGCAGAGCTAAGAAGTTAAAAGTACTGCAAAGATACAAATGTCAAGCAACAAAGTGATTTAGCCACAAAACACTGGAAAAGCTAACAAATTAGAGAATTCGGGACTTAAAAGGTAGAGAGATGTCTGAAGAGGATTAATTTAAAGTCTGAATAGGGAACACTTACACTCCCTGAGGCAAGTATTATGGATTTGCTTAAGTAACATGTTTCCAACCTCATCCTATGTTTTTCCATCCTGCAAAGAGTGAGTTATAACTGTATTTCCTGGACACACTTGCATGTAGGGCTCTGGATGTGATTTAGATTAATCATACAACATTTTAATTCAGAAATGAATTAAAATTAGAAATAAAACAGGCATTTTACCTAAATACTACAACAGAAGTGGTAAGGTTCTGAAGCTCATGGTTATAGAGGCATTTCCCTGGTTCAATCAGAAACCATTTCTTTTTTTTTTTTTTTTAAGATTTTATTTATTTATTTGAGAGAGAGAAAGAGCACAAGCAGGGGGTGGGGGCCAGTAGAGAGAGAAGCAGACTCCCTGCTGAGCAGGGAGCCTGATGTAGGACTCGATTCCAGGACCCTGAGATCATGACCTGAACCTAAGGCAGATGCATAACTGACTGAGCCACCCAGGTGCCCCTCATTTTTTTTTTTTTTTTTTTAAAGTAAGCTCTACTCCCAATGTGGGGCTTGAACTCACAACCCTGAGATCAAAAGTTGCATGCTCCACCAACTGAGCCAGCCAGGTGCCCCATCAGAAGCAATTTCTTGATCATAGTGGGAAAAGGAACTCACTTAGCAGTTGACTTCTCTGATATGACGTTGAGATTCATTCCTAAAAGCTTATCCTATAGTTGGTCCTTCAGTCCTCCCAAAGGTTCTCTAGGACATTTAATACCTTCATATAAATTCCTTCCTTCTTAAATTAGCTGTTAATAAGCTCTTTTCTCTGTAACTGCATCTTCACCAATACCTCCCCACCCCCCACACAACCCACACAGGAAGTGGCCATGTATCCACAACCTGAGCAGGAAAAAGAAAGCTTACTCTCTAGAGAAAAATGAACTATATAGCCTCTAGACTTAGGAACAAATGAAGCTTATGTAAAGGAAGCCTCATACTAAAAACCTAGGAATTATGTAAACTTGTCGATATTGAATGGTAACATTTCCAATCCCTTTCTGTTGCTTGCCCCATGAAAGCTGGCATTTACCTCCAGGTAGGAGTTGAGAAGATTAAAAACAAAAGATCCACAGAACTAGAATTCTAGAACTGGCATTTGCAACTCAACAAAAAACTCCTAGGTTCTATTCAAAAAGCACCAAAAATTTGTTAGATGTTTAGAATTTCTTTTTTATCCTTTCATGCACCAAAATAAGGAAAATTAGTGACACTGATGAATTCCCTATTTAAACAAAGATTTGAAAGTCTCATTACAATTAAAAATATATAGAAAACAAAGCAAACAGAAAAATTAGGTAGTAACTCCAGGAATGACAAAAATCTATGTAAGGATATATAATTAATAGTCATTTCTTGGCTCAGTATAACAGTATATCAACTAAAAGAACAAAGTAAGCAGTGAAAAGCAATTTAGCCAAAAACTGTGATACAGGGCGCCTGGGTGGCTCAGTCGGTTAAGCGACTGCCTTCGGCTCAGGTCATGATCCTGGAGTCCCGGGATCGAGTCCCGCATCAGGCTCCCTGCTCAGCGGGGAGTCTGCTTCTCCCTCTGACCCTCCTCCCTCTCATGCTCTCTGTCTCTCATTCTCTCTGTCTCAAATAAATAAATAAAATCTTTAAAAACAAAACAAAACTGTGATACAGCTATATCCAGAAAAAAGGAAAGGGGAAGTGGTGGTGGTGGTGTAAGAGTACTAAACCTCATCTTTTATTAATATCAAGTTGATAATAATTAGAAATTACCAAATAACAGCATATTCAGAGAAGACTAGCTTCCATCCTATCCCTGAAACACTGATTCCTCCTCTACTGCCTGACAGGTAAGCATTTTCATTAATTTGGGGGTTATTCTTATATTCTTTTAAAATACATATATTAAATATATACATATTTACATATGTACATATACATATGCCATATATATATCCATACACATATGCCTCTCCCACTCTTTATAAAAAAGGTCGCATATTCTAAATGCTGCTCTGCACATTGACTTTTTCCATTTATATATCCTGAATGGAAGCATGACATTGCTGACTTGTTTTATAGTTTTGACATTGGAATCATGTAAATGTTTTACATAACAACAAAAAAACTTAAATCAAAAGAGGAGGAAAAAAGCCAAAATAGCTCTTAAAAATTAAAAACAAATGGAAAAGAGTAAATCTATATATGAAGTTAGGGCCATAATCACTTCAAGTGACTTTAAACACCGTAGTCTGACTATACCCTAAGGGAGAAAAAAAAACAACCAAAGAAATCTTAAACTACATTCGGTAGTCCTTTTCTTTTCTTTTTTTTTTTTTGTTTTTGTTTTAAGATTTATTTATTTATTTTAGAGAGAGAGCGCTCACTCACGTGCACAGGGGAGGGGCAAAGGGAGAGGGAGAGAGAATCTCAAGCAGACTCTACGCTGAGTGCGGAGCCCACATAGGGTTCCATCTCACAACCCTGAGATCACCACCTGAGCTGAAACCAAGAGTGGGCTGCTTAACCGACTGTGCCACGCGGGCACCCCAGTAGTCTTTTTCATTATTAGTAATATTGGTATTGTTGTTTGGAACTAATATATATATAGAGAGAGAGAGAGAGAGAGAGGGAGGGAGGGGGAGAGAGCTATCAGTTTAGCTATCAGTTTTATCCCCATGCAAGTGGGGAGAAAGGGGATTGGTGCTCCCAGCACCGAATAGATAGAGGCCACAGAGGCTGCTAAACATTCTACACCCTACATAAACATCCTACAATGCACAGGATAGTCCCCTACAGCAAAGAATTATCTGGCCCAAAATGTCAGCAATGCCAAAGTTGAGAAATATATATGGATTAAGCAAATAAATATTTTAATGCAAAAAGGAGCTGAGATTTTCAGTATAAAAGACACAAAAACAAAACAAAAAAGGTAAGAATAACCCTACACTCTTTAATTTGAATTGGATGTATGAGTATAAATATGTACATTTTTTTCTTTCTAAAAAGTGCATTTTTCTAGCCTTGTCCACTTACAAGCTCTATAAGCAATGACAACCTAGTACTAATGAGCAACTATTGTGCCCACATTGTGGTCTCCAAATCATTTCCCACTAAAGGAAGCAGGGGTTTTAGAAAAGTAGCTATTTTATGTCTGGAGCAGGAAATTTATAAAATTAGCCAAAGAATCCTCTGGCTAGTGATATGACAATTTGAGCATTAAATTTGTTAATAATATGGGCTTATTAATAAATAACACATATAAAATATATTTAAAACATAATTTATAGGGCACCTGGGTGGCTCAGTTGTTAAGTGTCTGCCTTCAGCTCAGGTCATGATCCCAGAGTCCTGGGATCGAGCCCTGCATCAGGCTCCCTGCTCGGCGGGAAGCCTGCTTCTCCCTCTCCCACTCCCCCGCTTGTGTTCCCTCTCTCGCTGTGTCTCTCCCTGTCCAATAAATAAATAGAATCTTTTTTTTTTAAAGATTTTATTTATTTGAGAGAGAGAGAATGAGAGAGAGAGAGCACATGAGAGGGGGGAGGGTCAGAGGGAGAAGCAGACTCCCTGCTGAGCAGGGAGCCCGATGCGGGACTCGATCCAGGGACTCCAGGATCATGACCTGAGCCGAAGGCAGTCACTTAACCAACTGAGCCACCCAGGCACCCATAAATAAAATCTTTAAAAAAAAAAAAAAAGAAACATAATTTATATATTTTGTAAATATATAAACATTTTTAAATGTTTTCCATATATATCATTTATATACACTGAATAATATGTTATTTATTTTGATGCTCATTACATAAATTTATAATGATTTAACTTGGCAAACTAGAGAATGCTAGGACACCAATCATTATTCTCAAAGTTTTTGAAGGGGGGGCGCCTAGGTGGCTCTGTCAGTTAAACATCTAACTCTTGGTCTCAGCTCAGGTCTTGATCTCAGGGTTCTGAGTTCAAGCCTAATGTTGGGGTCCATGCTGAGCATGGAGACTACTTTAAAAAAAAAGTTTTTGAAGGAAAGGAGTCAAGTATTTCTCTTTCCTGCCCTGTAAAAACTATATTTCAGGGTAATCAAACAGTTATTGACAGAGTTGTTCTTGTTTTTTTTTAAGTTATCTCTACATCCAATGTGGGACTCGAACTCACAACCCCAAAATCAAGAGTTGCACACTCCACTGACGGAGCCAGCCAGGCGCCCCTTGAGTTCTTATTTATGGGAGAATTTCAGCTAATAAAAGCAGAAGAAACCTCTAATAAAAGAATGGATCTAGCCAAAGATTATCAATGGCTGTT